TCCGTACCTCTCGGCGCAGTCTTCACGTGCTGGTTGTCTGTAGCAGGGTCTGCATGTAGGAAAAAGGACCGTCTAATGGTCTGCTTTTTGACAGACCCAGCATCAAAAGGAGCGCATGACATCATACATTTTTGTTTTTTGACAGACCCAGCATCAAAAGGAGCACATGACATCATACATTTTTGTATGGTCTGGGTTGCACATATATGGAAATGGGCCATCTATCATTTCCATTGGGCATGGGTCAAACCAACGGGCTGCGTAAAAATTATTTCTAACCAGATCGTTATTTGAGCTGGGCAATCAGTTTGCTCTGTTATAAGAAGTTGAATATTACGTAAATAAAGATAACCAGAAAAGAAAAGAGGTTTATTTAGATTTGAATGTTTTAGCGAAAGCCTATATATATATAATGACACTTGAAATTATAATGAATAAAAAATTTGATTTTCAGAATTAATGAATTATGCATGACTGAAAAGTTATTCTTTTAATTTGAATGAAGAGTTATATTTTAAATTATATAAACATTATGCATGCCTTTAAATTTCTATAAATACATTGATTTAAAAATATATTATTTTTCATTGCCCTAACATAATCTTAGTCTATTAAGTCGAGATGGAGATAATGATTGAAATGGTTTGATAATATTATCAGGAAATTAATCTTTGTAGAAAAATTTACAAATTAAAAATATTATTCAATAAATAAGCTAAATATAAAGATTAACTTTAAGATATTTTTCTCTTACCATTTTTTCTGTAAAATATTAAAAAAAAAGACAAGCACATAAAAGATATTTAAAAAGGAGGAGAGAATCTAAAAAGTATTTTAAACTTCAAACCATAAAAGTCTGGCAATAAGTTCAAAGATTAAATCATTGGGGGCGAAGAACGAGATAAATGGTTATTTCTTTGTGCGAGCTTGGGAGTGACTGAAAGAGACTGATGTCATCGATGATATTACGTAAGATGAATATCGTTTGTCTTTAGCTTTGATGAGTGAATAAGTCTAGTCAAATCAAAGGATGTATTTTCCAATGAGATATTATTCCACCTATGTTATAGACCATAGAGTTGAGGCTAAAATGAACTGATGATGAATATCCGCCGGCGAGTAAAAACAGGCCGGACACCAAGAGAAAAGGATTCACCGGCGATTATTTTTTATTGCTCTATAGTGAGAGTTTGGTAATTCTGACTGTTTTTATACAAATATTCTTTAATTATAAATACATTAAAATATTTTTTTGTATATCAGCATATATCAATATCATTAAATTAATTAATTTAAATTAATTTCAGTTTTTTTTGAAAAAACAGCTTAAACATATTAACAAAATAAAACATTTAGTGTGTTTTTGAACCTGTTTAGAACTTTCTATCAAGGTTTTTGAAAGTATTTATCAGGAAAAAAAGAGGATATAAACAAATTTAATCACGAGAATTTAGAATATGTGTGATAAAATTGCTTAAAAAGTTTTAGCAGTTTGATATGGTTAGGATTAAGAGCTCATTTTATTATTTTATTATTTATTTTAAATTATTTATTTAATATTTTTGAATTATTTTAATGAACCAACACTAAAATTTAATTTTAAAAATAAAAAACATATTATTTTATTATATTTATAAATAAAAAACAATCGCTAGGAAGCAAACAAGAAATTTATAAACATACTCCGAGAAATGGCTTGTCATTGAATACGATTTCATCTTTCATGAGTTAAGGAAAATAAAAATAAAGTCAAATAACCACAAATTCATTAATGACGATTAATGTTGAGGTTCAGGCGAAGTTGATCTTGATTTCATTTGACCATCAGCATTCCTTTGACTAAAAAGATTAGGAGATGATTGAGTTTAGATATTTCCCAGTATTTTATTTAAAGTTGTTTGCCGAGCCACGCACTGGATGGGTGGTGTACCTTATTCATGACATACCAGCACTTAGTCGCTCTATTATAAAATATTTAAAACAAATCCCTAGACAACTATATGTAGCAATTTCCCACTTCCCAAGTATACGTACACACACCTAAGAAATTAATATATGTAAAATAAATTATGAAAAGTATATTGCGCGTATCATAAGGACTCTGAGTTGCTTTCTTATTCTTAGCTCAAGCCTAATTAAAGCCTAAGAGGCCTTCTTGGAGGATAGGGTTCATCCCTTGCTATGAAGAAAACCATAAAAAATCCCAACAAGGTTCATATGGATGATGATTCAGATTTGATTGATGAAGATAGCCTCTAATTGACTGAAGAGGATTTGAAGAAACCTCAACGACCATATGCAGATATCGAGGATTGTACGCATAGAGTTCCTATACAAATCTCATGTGTATTAGCCAAAATTTGTTCGTGGGAAGCATAAGGTATTATTTATTTTTGTATTTAAAAAATAATTTTTTAAAAAAATAATTTTTTTATTTGATCTCCTATTTCAAATTAATATTTTTTTCTAGTATTTTCATATTATTTTGATGCGCTGATATTAAAAATATTTTTTAATATATTTTTTTAATAAAAAACACTTTAAAAAATAATCACAACCACACTTTTAAAACTTGTAAAAACTATAAACATTGATGAGACAAGAAGATTTGTATGTTTGGCTCCGGATGAAATTATCAAAATAAAAAAATAATGATAAAGAAGTAAAAATAGATTTGTCAATAATATTATTTTGAAATGAATTTTTGCATTTCTAAAATAGAAGTGACACAAAAAACATGCTTTTAAATCTAATTTTAACCATAAAATATTATTCATCAACCAAAATATATAATAATAAAAATAACTATTACCAGCCTTAAAAATCCACCCAGGAGTCGAGTTAGAATAAATTTTAGATAATAGATCGGGAGGATTAATCTAAATTGACTTTAATTTTGTTTTTTAAAATAATAAAAATGATATTATTTGAATATATTTTAAAAATTCAACAAGTTTTTAATTAAGTTTAGGTATCATGGTATAGAGATCTCAAACGATTTACATAAAAGCTTACTAATTAAAAAAAATGATATACACAGTAATTATTTTTATGAAGATACCAAGTTGATGATAAATTTAAGTTCGGAATAAAAAAAATGATATTAAACATATGAAAGCTAATACGAAGAGCATGAAGCCTAACTGTCAAGATAAATTAAAAAAGAAAAAGAAAAAGAAAAGGAGATCCACCATGTTACGGTGCACCCGCACAATGGATTTGTGCCGAAAAGGGCGGTCCGGGCAACAAAGAAGATAGGGATGGCACGTGGGGGACAACACAGACACAACAACAGAAGAGGCACAGGGATTTATGAAGAGGAGAGAACAGTATCATGTGATCATAGGAGAATAGACGCATCCATTTTACCGTGAAAGAAGAGGAATCTAAATAATAAATATTAAATCCATATGTTCCTTACTTAATTTAGAGCCCCAGGCTTTAAGATTGATGATGCAGTGATGGATTTGACTCTCGTTTTGACCTTCTCGTTGTCATCAACGTGCTTGATTGATGCCCCAAGTCCTTGTTCGCAACAACAAGCCTTATATTTTAAACCGTGTCTCTCGTGAAACAAGAACAGATCACATGCAAATGAGCTTGCACGCTGCCTTCGGACCGTTCTATTCTTCTCCATGCAATTAAGGAGGGGTGATTCAGATTATACTGCCTGCTATTTTTTAAAATAGTTATTTACTTAAAAATATATTAGAAGGAGTTATTTTAAGACTTTTTTAATTTTTAATATCATTATATCAAAATCACCATAAAACATTTTTAATATTATTATATCAAAATCATCATAAAACAATAAAAAGTATTAATTTAATATTTTTTTCAACCTAAAAGCACTTTAATTAAGAGCCAGAATAATAATTTTTTAAAAATGTTATTAAACCTTTCCAAGTGGATTAATGTTGAACCCCCCAATTTAACTTGTTGTTTATCTCAAGTTTCTAATTAAACTGTATGGAAGTTATCTCAATTTAAATTGATCGATTCATGAGTCTAAATACAACCTTAACGATCAGAAAAGACATGATTTAACTCTTAAAAAACTCAACATGATAACTTTATTTTAAAAAATATTAAGACAATGATAAATTATATTGACTTTGGTCACCTCACAACCAGGGTCATGAATTCTACTGGATTTAATAACTTTTTTCATATGAATATTTTATTTAATCATATGATAAAAATATATGCTTATAAAAATCGAGCATCAACCTAAAAATAGACACTTATTTATGATAGTGATAACCCCATAGACTACAATAAAAAATAAATCATACAGTCCATTTCTCAACTAATCCAATATTGAAGGCAAAACTAAAATTTAAAAATTTAAAAAAATCAAAGAATCAAAAACAAAAAAATATCCGGTCGGTGAGTAAACTCATCAAACCTGTTAATCTAGCAACGCGCTAGCACGAAAAACTTGTAAATCAGGTTATGGACTCCACTAAGATTATGATATATATATTTTTTTTAAAATCTATCTTTTATTTAACTATATGATAATAAAAATAGATGATCGCAAAATTGAATCCCATCTAATGATAATAAAAATAGATGATTGCAAAATTGAATACCATCTAAATACTGAGATTTTTTTTAGATCACGATAACAGATATATATAAAGATAAAATTAAAAAAATTAATTAAAAAAGAGTTACATTTGCTAGACTCTTGAATCAAGTTAAATAGCCAAACTAACTTTATAAAGTGTAATGATAAGATTTTTCTCTAAATTATTTTTGTTATTTATATAAAAAATAGATGATAAAAAAATCAAGTTAAATTTAAAAATAAAAAAATATAAAAAAGACATCCTCTAAACCTGTAAATTAGAGCAACTTGAATTATCTTAATAAATTCAGAAACCACCTTAACCTTACATAAAAATAAAATTTAAAAATAAATTTAAAATAAATTATAATAAAAATTCAATAACAACAACAACAAAAAAAAAAAAACAAAAGGGGAAGGTACTCTAAAGGAGCGTATTAATCATGAATGTCTTTAATAAAGACAAATGCAAGCTTTTAGTTCAGCTGTTTATTTATAATTCATCAAGTACTTTGGGTCTGATCAGTGTTTACTGCAGGTCTGAACAGATGTGGTAAGAGTTGCAGGTTGAGATGGATGAATCATCTTAGACCAAATATTAAGAGAGGTAACATATCAGACCAAGAAGAGGACTTGATAGTGAGGCTTCATAAGCTCCTTGGAAACAGGCAAGTTTATCACAATTTCCTTCTCTCTCCCCCCCTCCCCCTCCCCCTCCCTCATTATTATTTTTCACTGATGAAATATATGTTGTTTTCAGTCTTTTAACTTAAACCAATTTATTCCTTATTTAGATGGTCTTTGATAGCTGGAAGACTGCCTGGAAGGACTGATAATGAGATCAAGAATTACTGGAATTCTCATTTGAGCAAAAAAATAAAGCAAAATGAGAAGCCAGTGAGAAGCTCGACATGGCAAGAACCTGTGAAAACTAAGGTACTGGACATGGATAATGTTGCCAAGAGAAGTGAGGAGGGTACCTCTAAGACACTTGAGGACTCAAAATTTAGCTTTGGTGGGGATGGATTCTTTGATTTCTCCAATGAGGATCCTATGAATTTGGAATGGATGAGTGAATTCCTCGAACTCGATGAGACTTTGTATGGCTTTCCATGATAATATTGTAAGTTTTAAGCCTTGGTGAAGCCTTTTGAGTTAGTAGTAGTTTATGCATTTGTATTTTTGTGATGGCTATTGACAGTTAAGGAAGTCTTTGCTGATCCATGGAAAACCCTTCAGTTTCACACTCGTCGATTGCCAACTACTTAGGCATCTACAAACAGAAGAAAAGAAAGAAAAACTGGGTTTTCCATGGATGGACAAACACTTCAGTTGATAGTTTCCTTCTGTTCTGATTCAATGTAAAACGATGATAGTCTACGTTTTTGTCCAGTATTATGATTGTACAGTTCGAATCTCTTACATTTGCAAGTATAATGTCTTTGATATTCCATCAAATAAAGGATCTATCTTGAGTGATGTAAAACCACAACTTAACTAGCTACTGCTATTTGGTTGGTCCTAGTTAAGTCATCTAAAGGCAGGAAAAAATCCTGGGAAATTTTTGGTGTGTGGGGTAAATTCTTTCCAAGGAGTCCTCCGCCAAATAAATCTTAGAAATAAATCAAAAGGCAATCGTATTTTTTCTTATAAAAATGGAAAAGGTGAACAGAGTTCCTCTGTTTCAGAATCCATGAGATGAACTTAAACTAAACATTTTAAGGTGAAGCAGCAAATAAAAAGGTTTTCTCTGTTTCAGGCGACCCATCCAAGCAGAGTTTAATTCTCTATTCGACTTCTCACAAGGAAACAAGTAAACACTCTGTATGCCAATTTATGAGCATTAACAAAAATCTAAGGCATTTTTTAGTGCACCTTTTTTTTTTTACTTTTGTGTTTTTTCTATTCTCATCATCTTTTTTTTTTAATTTTATATTTTTATATTGTATTAACTGGAAGTTAGACTTGGCAATTTTTTTTTTCTGTGTTTATTATGTGTCAAAAAAAAATCTTGATATTGGATTTTGAAAAAAAAATTTCATTGCTTAAGAAAATTTAAAATTCAGGGACAAAAATTGACAGGAGACAGATATTCAGGTTTTTTATTTTATTTTTTTCCACCGTCCAAAAAAATCAATTTTTTAATCCAAAAATTTTTTATCCCAATTTTCTAGCTATCTCTATGTGGCAGAATCTGGGCAAGTAGTCGAATCATTATTTGTCATTATTTTTTTCAAAAACAAAGAAGGGGGATGTCGTCTACCCCTTAGAGCATCCATACTCTTGCTTTCTAAAAAGACTGCTGAGCTACAATAGTTAGCAAAGTGGTTTTTTTCCATGTCATTGTTACCAGTAAAAAGCCTCTCTGTTTTGGCGAAGTTAACGATGCTATGGCTCTCTCTCTCTCTTGCTGGGATACAATGGCAGGGAAGAGTGCCTGACTCGAGTGACAAAGAAGTAAATAATTTCCCCTCCATTTCTTCACGTGTCGTTTTTATTTAATTTGATGTGGGTTTTAGCTATATTTATGTCCTTTAATCCTCCTTCTTCTTTACAATCTCAAGGGCTGCCATTTTCATGTGGGGGTTTTCGTCAAAGTATTCACTTTTGAAGAAGTGATTGTGCAACACCCCCAAGGACTTTTGGCTTATTATCAATGGCAAGAGGAGATCTATGACTGACTTTTCTTGAAATATGTGTTCTCTGTTCTTTGGGATCTATTCATGTAGCTTACCTTTCTTAATTCAATCATTGGCTATCCAATGTGTTAGAACTAGTTTCTTCACTGTTTAAATGTATGGAAAATTTACAGTGCATTTCTAATGATGAATTTGCTGTTGAAATTGTGTTATTCTTCCTAGTAAGAAAGAGGGATTGGGGAGTAGGAAGATCAAATAATGGAATTATGCTCGTGTAATGGGATTAGAAATTTTATAATTTAAATAATAATAAAAATATTCATAATTCTCTATTTTAAAGAGTATGGATGTGATAATATTTTTTAGCTAGCTAGTTAAATGAATTTTTAGCTAAAATATAAAGAGCATGGATAATTAAAAAAATGAAGAAGCTAGTCGCATGGCCGTGATTTTTTTTTTAGTTGCATAGTCCTGGTTTTTTTTTTTTTTAAGCCAGGCTCCTGGGCCTCGTCCCTTTTTATATATACTTTTTATTTTTTTTAGATTTAGAATTTTAAAATGATATTTAAATTATTATTCAATTTTACTATAGTTCAAAAAAATTATTACAGGTTTTTATAAAAATATTAACAATTATTTTTCAATTATCATGTACCTTATATGAAAAACAGCTCTTGTAGATTCAATTAAAATAAATTTTTAACATAATTTTTGTCACTTTTTTTTGGTCTTCAATAACATATGAAATACTTAGACATTATTTTATTATTTTTTTAATTCTCTTTTACGATCATGATGAACTTTCGTTTGGAAAAATTTTCTTGTAATTAAAAAGTATGTTTTTGTTGAAACAATCACGAGATGCATTAATAAAAAAATAAAATTTAGATTTCAAAAATAATCTTTTCCTTCTTATTTCAAATGGCAGGAATTTAAAAAAATCTTTATTTTTTTATTGTTGTTGTCTTTTATTAAAAAAAAGTGATCATGATAAAAAAATATATTTGTGATGTTGTTTTTAAGAAAATTAAAATTTTTTATGATGATATTATTGGTTGTTTCATGAATAATTATGTATTAACCCCATATGTAAAATTTTTATAATAATTTGCTCATTAATATTGAATAAAAATATAATAGCTTTTAGAATGTCTTTTGTCATTATGAATGTCTTATTTAATTTCTCAAAATTATTTTTCTTATTTTTTCTTATATAGTTGTATAGAGATGATTGGTTTATGATTTTTTTAAAAAAATCAAATTTTCTTTCATGATCATAATGAGTTGTTTAAAAACAATGTTGGACAATTTTAGGCTTTTTTATGAACTAAGTAGAGTATTTCATTTTTCATTTGGACCTATAATTTAAGATAAACATAATAAATCTTCACATTAGATTAAATTGACCCAATTTATAAAACTTGAATTTATCCATGATCTTCTCTACCGAGCAGCTCTCAAATACCACACAAATAAATCAAGTCTAAGCAATATTTAAACTTAATTTTAAAGACATGCTACATGAACATGTATGCAAGGTTCTTATTTATAACAATTTTTTTTAGTGATACAACACCATGTAACATAATATTTAGAATGAAGTGATACCTAACATTAATATATTTGATCCTTTCTTGATATATCTATTTTTTGATCATATGAATGGTACTCTGGTTAACAATACTAAATAGTTAACTTACATGACAAAAACTAAAATTATCAGTTAAACCTCTCATCTATAAAGCTTCTTTCATTGTTTTTGTCGATTTCATAAACTCGACCTATATTGTAGGTAAGGAAAAAATAGATTGTAAAACTGCTTTTCAACTAAAACAACACTTTAAAAGTAAAAACATAACCTATTAGCGACCTTCTTCTCCTATGTAAATCACTAACATATGATGAATCTATAAATCTCTCAACACTATTTCTAGTGATACTACTCTTGTTATGTACCAAACCAATACATGTTATACTTTTAAGATAATAGAGTGTCAAATTTATAGCGTGCTTGTGAACTTTACTGGGATTTCTTATGAACACTAAGAGATTAGTTAAAGTTTTTAATTAATAAAAAAACTAGATACTATACTCAGAGGTAAAGAAAGCAATAAACACCATAGATAAAAATCATCGAGATAGATATAAAAAAAGCTTGTGAAAAAACATATAGGGGTTGACGTCTAAAAATAATAGTAGGATTTGCTATTTATATAGAGAAGAATAAATTTGATGATTGATCGAATTTTTAAATTAATCTTAATAAATTAGGGTATGAATCCCACCAAAATATCATTTTCTACATAAATAATGATTTTGTTGAAAATAATTAAAGAAATAAATCTCCTCTCCTCAACTTGCTTTCTTTTACTGTTGCCTTAAAGGAATGAATGTTAAAATATAATTATTAAACTCGATCTAATTAATTAATTTAAAATAAAAAAGATATTAATTTAACCGATCCCAGTTGATTTAGCTAGTTAACCCATGACTCGATTAACCCAACTAAACTTGATGGGGTCACACCAAATATTTTTTTCTAAAAAAAGTAATATTGTTTTAATAAATAAAAAATAATTCAGGTTAATGTGATGATCTACTAATAAACCCGATAACCGGAGCCCTTTTGTAGATCATACCCGAGATGAAAATAATATTATTTTAATAAATAAAAAATAATTCGGGTTAATTGGATGATCTACTAATAAGCCCGATAACCGGAGCCCTTTTCTAGATCATACCCGAGACGAGGTTCTCAAAGATCGCACAATTGATTTAAGTTTAGCTCATCTTCTTCTTGAACTGGTCCTTTAAGTTCTTTCAAGAGTAGAATTTAGTCCTAGTCAACAATGATATTCTAACTCGGTTCATTATTCATGACCAGTTGAAAAATGTCTATTATGAGCGTAACATTAACATGTCGTCGTCCTCCTTTGTTGAAAACAGTTGAAAATGAAAAATCATTATGCATCTCTGTGCTCTATTTAGATCAAATCAATTGTATTTGAGAGATTTATCGTTTGAGCTAGTAGTGATACATGAAGTCAATGCACCAATCAATTAACCCACATAAATCCAGTTTATAATAATTTTCTGTACTTGACTTCTTAGGATATGAAATAATTTGTCGGCTCACATGAATTTTTTTTTTTTTTTTGTTCGGCATGCACCTGGTCTTGCCTCCTTAATCCTATCACCATCTTCCTTCATCACATTGGCCATTGCCCTGAGTGCGCTAATCCGAAAATGAAATGAAGCATTAAAGTTAAAAAGGCACTCCGATTGATAGAGGAAAGAGATTGGTGCGCGCCACCTTGGACCTTGCAATCTGCGGTGTCAATGGGGTCTCCCATCGATAAATCATGAACATTAGGAGCACGAATTTATTTTAGGGAATAATAAATGTCATCTTAATTTCCACCCCACTTGACATGTCAGCATCTAGTATTTCTCGACCTATTTACTTCTCTGGCTTCAGTTATGTTGGCAGAGATTATTTATATAATTAATTAAAACAGTTTATTTATAATTTTATAATTTCGCAATTCAAATTTATATTGTATTTTCTGTGTGATGTAAAAACACAAGATCTTGACAACATTCAAATGATACATGGCACTCAGTGGAGTTTTGATTCTACAAATCATTTCAAGATCTTCAATTTCTCTGTTCTGATTCAGGACTCATCGAGTTCACAAGCAAAGATGGTACATCTACTGATCTTGTATTGTAAAAAGACTAGCTAGTGATTTCTCGTACAATAATATCATTAAATCACAGTAAAGTTTGTAGTGTAGTGCCTCTTTTTTTTTTTTTTTTAACAAATGAAGCACAATTCTTGATCACAATCCATTTTATTTATGCTGGAAAAAACCAACTTTAAATATTTTACTGGGTTATTCTCACACCACATTGGGTGCTGGATAAAAAAAAAAATAAATGTGAAAAAACATATTTAGATTGTGAAGAATTTTTTTATATTATCATTAAACTATTTGCAACGTGTTAAACTTGAATTGTGTTGAAATTTCTCCGGGGTGAGAAAAATCGAAGAAAAAAAAAATCTTTGCACTTTATTTATTTATTTAATTATATAATAAAAAACTACAAAGAACAATTTAAAATGAACTAAATATTAAAAAAATTTAAGAACAATTTAAAATGAACTAAATATTAAATTTTTTTTAAAAAATCAATACATAAAGCAGAGTAGAGGGGAATGAATTTCCTTGGAGAATATCTCCTGGAATTATAAAATCTTTTCTAGTACCAAACTATACGGTAACATAATATTCCAAAACACTAAAAAACAATTAAAAAGCAACTTGAAAAGTGGGTCATTATATTTGGAATTATATGGAATCTTTTGAATTATTGACTTAATATTCTTTTTTCTAAAAAAAAAACAGAGATAGGAGTTATGTGTAAAAGAAAGAAAAAGGAAAAAGAATCAACGCCAAGAATCGAACCTGCAGCATAATAAGCTCAACAGAGCAAACAGATGTCTCCATATGCTTACCAACGATGCACGCCCGTTCTGTAATTTAAATCCACTACTCAGTAAGCTTGAAAATTGAATTGAAGGACAAAGATGTTATCTACCTATTAAAAAACACATATTAACAGCTTGAAAATTGAATTGAAGGACAAAGAGGTTATCTCGCCTCCTTTATCCGTATCTGGATTCGAACCTCATCATACACGTCTGTTACTCCTGCGGTGCCTTACCTGTTTATTGGGCTTGCAGGATGTTCAGTGAACCGTGAGAATTAGTCATGATGCGTGTAAGCGGCCCCGGACACATCACGTAAATCAAAAAAAAAAACACATATTAGCATCTTTCATTGTTCTTCACAGTATAAACAAATATATTGCCCCAGCAGAAAGTGAAACAGCAGCGGATGTTCAGTGAACCGTGAGAATTAGTCATGATGCGTGTAAGCGGCCCCGGACACATCACGTAAATCAAAAAAAAAAACACATATTAGCATCTTTCATTGTTCTTCACAGTATAAACAAATATATTGCCCCAGCAGAAAGTGAAACAGCAGCAACCTTCTTTTTAAAATATAAAATATAATAGTGGTTGTTTTTTAAAATATTTTTAATTTAAAAATATATTAAAATAGTATTTTTTATTTTTAAAAAATTATTCTTAACTTCAATATATTAGGACAATTTAAAAACATGAAAATATCAAACAACAAAATTTAAATTTTTAAAAAACATAATTTCATATGCATCTAAATCATGTAAGCAAAGTAATTGAGCTGCGAGTCAGAGTCAGGTACAATTGAGCTACAGGACAAAGATAACGATTTTCCCTTTCCAAGAAGACAAGATGGTCCAAAATGTTTATATTTTATGAAGTGCAAATGTTGCAATGGAATCCTGCGACGTCGTTGTTTTATGTAAGATGGTTCCCAGACTCTTTTCTTACCTGGAAACTGTCTCCCCTTCACCAGATTCTCTCACTGGGTGTAAATAAAATAAGCAAGTACTCATCCTTGTATCCTCCAAGATCATAATGCAGTCTCTAACTTTTTAAGCACATAAAACACATTATAATGCAGACTTCAAAGCAAGGGAAGGCCCGGCTTGTAGATGATCAAGTAGCTACTTGGTTGGATCTAAATGAGAGAACAAATTTTCTTTTAGGTAAGATTTATCACAAAATCTTTCAGGTAAAAAAAAAAGGAAAGAAATATTTGTTGGAAATTTGTTTTAAATAAACAAATTAAAGATAAATAAAAAATTAATCTAAAAAAATCTCTAGTTTTTCCAAAAAAAAACTCTTGATTTTTCTAGATTTAATTCTTGATTTATAGTGGCTAATCAATAATTGATAATTGATAATTGATAATTGTGAGAATTAATTTTTATTAATTCTTCAACTTTTTTACTTTTAAGATTCACTTAATTTTTATTAATTCTTCAACTTTTTTACTTTCAAGATTTACTATACAAAAAAAAGTGAAATGAGAGTTTTTACTTTTTTTTTTAGATTTTTACACACTTTTCCTCACTTCACTTTAGTTTTTCTCCAAATCCAGAGTGTAGGCTCGTATTATTAAGAAATAATTGAGTTATATATTTTTCATTCAAATCAAGAGTGTTCTTGAAATCTTAAGAGTCATATTACATACATATTAGATACATATTGATCATGTAAGTAATGAGTAATAAAATCTTAAAAATAAAAGATTTATTATTGATAATAACAAAATATTTATTATTTTAAAGTATTTTAATAAGTAAGTACCTTTCTTGTTTTAATTAATCATAGTTGATGTAAATTTTTGTTTTTATCTCGAGTTTATAAATTTAAACATGTATAAACTCTAGTTTTTTCTAAAACATTTTTTATTTAACATGTTTTTATAATAATAAACTATTAATTCAAGCTAATTATTTTTTAATTATGTCATCTTGTCATGATAAACTAAGTATATTTATAAACTTTGGTCCTACAATATTGTTCTTGAAAGGTTTTTCACCTTATTGAACTTCTCCCTGGCCAATCTAACAGTCTGATTCATTGACTGGGCTGGAAAATAATCCTACACATAATCACAAAATTGTGAGTTATACATTAGCCCATGTAAACAATAATCCAAAACAAATCATCATACAAGCCAAATAATGCCATACTTTTCACTGTTTGACCTCCATGCAGTTGTGTTAATTTGAATAGGTACTGCATTTTTCCCAGAAAAAAAGTCTACAATCTACATCAACTTGTATCTTAAACTTAGTTTCTAATTTCAGGGAATGAAGATTGTAATAGAACAATTCAAAATGTTAATGCGCACAGGATCCTTGGTATGGTAACAATCAATTTCCAACAAAAGAAATTGACCGCGCTCATTACAAGTATGGAATGATCAACTCAGATATGAAACAGGGTTGAGTTATATCAGCTCAGCAGTCATCGGTTTTGTCCCAACGAACCAACTCAGATTTCAATAACATAAGCGACAATAAGCAATCACGCCACAAGAATGCGCCAACGAAACAATAACAAACCTGGCCAGAGGACACCCTTGTAACAGGAGGATCACCTATCTGATGAACATTTTGTGATTCTCCAGAGTCCCTACAGATATGTAGGACGGATTAATCATATGCATAGGAAATGAAACTGCCACAATTGAACACTTTCATAGAGGAGAAAAACTGGACAGAAAATCTAAACAGCCTACCAAGATTGATTAGATTTGAGGTGCAGAGAAACGTGGTCAATCAGTGATGTAAGCAGTGAAGCCTGGCTCGAAGTGCCCAGGTTATGAACTTTGGGACCCTTGGTTCTTCCAGCTGAAACCATTAAAGAATGACTTACTAGACAGAGGTACAAAACCCTTAACAGCCACGCAAATTAAAATCATAGAACCAATTTCTAACTGTTTACAAAAACAGAAACTGACGGTTCAAACGTGCAGAAACTATCTTGCTTCTTCCTTCTAACTTATCCTTTTTGTCAGAGACAGTCTCAAAGTGAGGAGCATAGGAGACCTACAAAAGGTGCCCTAGGAAAATGGATTCGTCCAATTTTCTTTTAGAAACCTAGAAATTAAGCACATGATAAATCATTATTATTATTGGATATGTGAAAAATGAATGCCCCAGAAGATGAAATGGATGAATGAAACCATCAGCTCACCTGACATTGCTGATCAGGCGGAATTTGATCCAGTAAACATCAGTAAATTGCTCACAATCGTCTGCATCCATTGGTTTACACCTTCAAACAGTTTTTTTCCTTCTTTTTTTTAAAGGATAATTAAGAAAATTAAAGTAGAAAAAAATGTAATAGAAGAGGAGAAGGGGGTTTTACTTACTCTTCAACGTTTCCATAAGAGGCAAAGAGTTTGAACAAATCATCACCGCATCCCAAAGCAGGAGTGTTCCTCACTATCAAATATCTGTTCAAAAACACATTTTTGCTAGTTCGATTTTAAGAAAACAATAATAATAAAAAAAAAAAACAAGACAGAAAGAGAACTTGATTCGTGACAGATAGGTAGACACGAACCACCGTTGAAGGAGGAGAGTGGTCTCTGTATCGAGTAGGCATGGCATGGCCAATTCATTGAAGTGTTCACGCGGGATGTTAACGGGATAACTCGATAAAAACCTAAACAATGAATTAACATGTGATCTGGGATTCATAGCGGGTCGAGTTTAGAAAAAAATTCAAGAAGAATCAACTCGTTGTAAAACAATTAAAAATATGGATTGATCGATTACCTCATCAACTCGTAGCAGATGTCATTAAGATCAGATAGAAAATTATTAATTATTTTCATTAATTAATTTTTTAAATGTATAACTCGGATCAACCCATCTGATATATAATTAATACTTACCTCAAAGTAACTCTTTATAAACGACATAATAACCTAAAATTTTAAATTAACTAGCAAAATTAAAAAGAAAAATTAATTTTACAAAAAAATCAAAACTTAAAATAAAAATTAAGAGAATAAGAATCAAACTTAAAAAAAAAATCAATAATATGAATCCAATGATGAAATTAAAAATAAATTAAATTTTGATAAAACCATTAAAAGTCAATATTTAAAATCAAAACCTTAAACATCATAAAACTTTGAATTAAAGGTTAAAGTTAAAAACAAAAATGAAATTAATAAAAGAATCCAAAATAAAAAATAAAAATTAAGAAAATAAAAATCAAGTTTGAAAAAAATAAAAAATCAAGATTAAGGATTCAATAATGAAATTATAAAAACAATAAAATTTGATAAAAAGGTTAAGAATCAAAATTTAAAATTGAGGTCATAAATTTAAGTATCATCAAAATTTGAATTGAAGAGTAAGATTAAAAAGAAAAATTAAATTAAAAAATCAAAAATAAAAATCAAGAGAACAAGAATTAAACTTAAAGAAATTAAAAATCAAAGTTATGGGTCCAATAATAAAATTAAAAATATATTAAAATTTAATAAAAAGGTTACAAATCAAATTAAAATATTAATAAACAAATATAAAATAAAAAATAAAAAATTGATTTTTTTTAAGAGCCAGCATGGTATTCAATGTGAGGGTGAGAGAAAAGAGGAAAATAAAAAGAAGCGGCAGCTGGCGCCAAACCATCCTTCAAAACACCACACTCGCCATTCCATGCCGGTAAAAAACATCGTATAACTTCAAATATCATGATTGAAGCTGGTGTTCTTCTACCGGATAATGATTCACACGCCGCTCAAAGAGAGCGAAACCATTCCATATGCTCGCTCCTTATGCTAAACTAGCTTTTCCATTCAAGTTCATTCATAAAATCATAAAAACCACTTTCAAAGAAAGGAATCGAAACCTAACAAAAAATTCAGAAAAACAGGAGTGATTAAAAAAAATGGATACCTTTCAAATCAACATGCTGACAGAGTACTCTCCGCGCTCTAAGCCACCCTTTCCAGACTTCTCCTCCTTTGAAATTAGCAGCAGCCCTGAAGGATGCCGAAAAATTAAGACAAAACTGAGATATCCAATCACTGTGTGGGAAACTGTTAAGATTCACAATGAGAGAAGATAACCTCATTTAAATATTCAGTCGATTAAACTAAGAATCGATTTTCTGATCAATTGAATAACCAATGAAGCAGAATATAAAAATCAAATTAGAAGAAACATAACAATATTTAAAAATTAGAAGTTTAAAGAGAAATTAAGATTCTAATCTGAGAAAAAGAAGTAATAAACAAAAAAATATAGTCTGTTTGCTGAGAAAATAAAAGAAAACTGCATCTGAAGTTAAAGTGTGTGTGTGTGTATAAAATGTAGTTTGAGAATCTAACACACTAGCAGTCAGTTAACAAGATGAGATTTCGAATTGTGACAAGAATTGAGGTTTAACCCTAGTCTTTTAGATTGAGAAAGAGAATCAACTAAGCCTTTAACCAAGCCACCAGAGATGAATACCTGGCTACCATCGAGCGTTCACATCCCCGGCGTGAAGATGAGCTCTGATTTAGGTGTTGTTTAATATTATAGTTTAACTATATTTTAAAAAAAAATTAATTTTTTTGTGTGTCACTGGATAATTTCTTGTAATCTTGTTTTTTTCTTCAAATGATACTAGATAACATTACGAGATTCAGTTCATCCGCAAGGTAAAAACCCACTTTCTCATGAGCATATGCATTCAATTCAATCGCCTATCAACAAAGTTGTTTTGCATATGGCTTTATTTCTAGTTTTTTTTTATGGATGTAACAATGTAATTACAGGGACAAGTAGTACTTTTGAAGAGGGTGACATCCATGCGTCATGTTGCATGATTCATATTTTCATACATCATGTTTTAAAATCGAAAAGAAAAGCAACAGGAAGACAGAGTAAAAGTAGGCAAAAGAAATTTGATGTAACTTAATTTAGGTTATACTTTTGTATTTTAAAGATTATTAATTTGAATTTTATAAATTTTAAAATAATTAAAAATTTATATAATTATTAATTTTAAAACTAGTAAAATTAATTAAAATATACATAAATTAATCTAAACCCATCTTAATCTAAAAAAAAAAAAGTAGGCAAACAAAGGCATTTGTGATTGGGAGCACTCCTCCATAGTGCTTCTAATTGCGAGTTCAACGATTCTTTGGGATGGGCAGCATTTCTGGCATTCTACAATTTCAGTGTTCAATTATGTTATACTACCTTGGTTTCGTAAATTAAGTTTGAGGCTGTGCCTGACATACATTTTCTCAATATTTATTTACAGTTATATTTACTGTGTTATATTTGCACTTCAGATAGATATTATGAAGAATTCAAACAAATTTATTATTCTATGTTTATAGTCGGTTTAATTTAAGGGTTACTTGAGCAATAGCATAAGATCCTTATTTAACCAAAAAAAAATCTAACAATAAATAAGATATATTTATCAATTATTCTTTATAAAATAAAAAATTATCACGACTTAATAAAAAAATTTAAGTATGAAATGAAAATTGTCTAAAACCCCACTTGTATAGCTGACGCATCCACAAAATCTATAAGAAAAAAATATATTCAAGTTTTGTGAAAAAATACTAGAAAAGGTGATAAGATTTTTTTTTTTATGGGTTAGACAGACAATATGCTAGGCTTTAATAAATAGTTATTTATGTATCAAATTCAAGCCCAAATTTAAATTGAGAAAATAAAATTTTTATAGCTCAAAAAGTTATTTTTACAATGAATCTAATCTCAAGCCTGACACGAGCATAAACACGAGTCGGCACATTCACGAGTTTAAGCTCAAAACTCATAGGTTTTCTTCCTTTTAGAAACTTGGGTCCGAAACTCTTCAGCTACTTGTTATAATATGGGACAGATCTCTTCATAGAATTTTGGTTTTATCAAAACATATAAATTAAAAAAAAATTAAAGTTAATTTTTTTTCCATTCATAACTTATTTAAATCAAGTTAATGTTCTATATATATTAGAGAGTATGAGTTGGAGATTAAATTGCAATAAATTTTAGCTCTACAAATAAATTGGTTTACTTATAATTTAACATCAGATGAACCCATCATTAACTGTGATCTATGAATAAATTTCCAACAAAATCTTAATTCGTAGCTCTTGAAAGATCACTTCTCCTTAAAAAATTTATTGAAACTTGTCACATAAAAATTTTATTTCTTCCGTCAAAACTTAAAATCTGAGCTGAATATATTGTATTGAAGTAGTTATCGCGATGCAACCTGGCTACATTGGCAAATAAATGCCCAGGAAATCACAATTTAATTGAATATACATAATGATATATCATGAATTGATAGCAAACACGGATTTCACTGAACATAAATGGACACTTACATTTTGTTTCTTGATTCTCGAAATTGAACTTGAACATGCATTTCAGAAACACAAATCAAGATTACTACACGTAACCTATATTATTATGCACCCAGCACACAATGCAAACATAAATGGACACTTACATTTTGTTTCTCGATTCTCGAAATTGAACTTGAACATTCAATTCAGAAACACAACCCAAGATTACTACACATAACCTATATTATTATGCACCCACACAATACAAATATAAATTATTAAAATAAATGAGTTTGCAATCTCCATACATACCCTTCCAATGATATTTTCAGGCCAAATCATTGGAATCGATCACGTGATATGCACATGACTAATTTTATATTGAAAATAAGTATGAGTTAAAAAGGAAAATTAACCCAACTTGTCCTTACATTTTAGTCAAAATCTCCAATCTGTTTTTAAGAGTTTATTTGCTTTCCATTTATCCCCTAATATAATATTATTTAATTTTCAATATTTCCTATTATTAGATATCCTCGTCCAGATTGATGAAAATATAGTCAAGTGAACAACTCACGCCCAATCTCATTTATTAAAAATTAATAGATAAATTTTAACGCTGAAGGACAACTCATTTTTAAATAAATTACGTGGGATACAAGTTTCGAAGATATTTTTTTTTTTGTAGAAAACTACAATTTGAGTGCTCAACTTTATATTTTTATTCTACCACCGTTTGGTTTTTTCTTCGGATTCATGTTTCCAAGATATTTTTGTTGTAGAAAACTACAAGTCCTCCATCACCTTAGCTTTGAATCAACAAAAAAAAGAAGCTAATGTGGTCAGGATCAACTAACACATGATAAAAAATGGGTTCCATGCATGTTTATTGAAGAAGAATTAAAAGGACAGTTTAAAAAAATAATAAAAAAGAAAATAGGTGCCAAATTGGAAGAAAAAAAAGAAAAACGAAATCAAAACAATAAAAAAATAAAAATAAAAACTTTCATTTTACTCTAATTGCAGTTCTCATTTTCATTAGGTTGCAAGGAAATATCTACAAGAAGGGTAGATTGGAGAATGCATAAAATATAAGAACAAAGTAAGAGCAATTAAAAGCAAATTAAATATAAGGGTAGATTAGAAATATCTAATTATTTGTTTTACCTCTAATTTATTTTTGGTATAAAGTTAAACATATTTATAACATGTCATGTCTATTTTTTTAAATGGCATAGATAATATATTATCTGTTTATCTAATTTTTGGTTATCGGAGGATTGTTAAAAAATCTAAACTTCAGTATTTTATGTTTATAAGATTTGATTTCTAATCAATTTTTAACTCAAAAACATATAAAAAATAATTCAAGGATCTTGACAAGCTTATTTATAACCTTAAATAAGTCTAAAATTGGTATAAAAAACTAAAATCAACCTGAATTAAAAAAATATTTTTCAAGCTCATATATGTCATCTCAAGTAATAAGAATGTTAAAAAAAAAATACTCCACTAAAACTTTTATTATCGAATAAAACATATTAATACCAAGAACAATCCTTTTCATACTAGAGATCGGTATTAATAATGATTTTTTTTATCATAAGATATCAATAATTTTTGTTTCTCAAATAAAAAACTAAAAATAAAAAAAATAAAGTTCCTTTTCATACTAGAGATCGGTATTAATGATGATTTTTTTTATCATAAGATATAAATAATTTTTTTTATCAATAATTTTTTTTTCTCAAATAAAAAACTAAAAATAAAAAAAATAAAGTTTTGAATTAAAATCAAAATTTTTAAACTATAGCGACCAAAAAGTAATCATTTGAAAAATATAAAGATCAAAATTAATTTTATATTTTTTTTACTTTATTTCTATATCTTTTAATTCTGCCATTTATTAATAAATTAGAAGTAATTAACCTTTAATTTGGTAAAAAATAACTGAATCCAAGAAAAAAAATTCAATAACTAAAACAATGACCATTGAAGTCCGCAGTCTATGTGTGGCATTTGCACAATGTATGTACCCATCCCTTTTATTTTATTTTTTTTACTTGATTAATTATTAATAACAGAAGGTCTTGGTTGTTGTCGTGCGCGACCAAGGGGTGGTGAAGCCACAAGCCAAGAGCATTGCTTTCTTTTTAGGCTGCGATTTGTTTTTTTTTTTTAAATCTTTGAATTTTTTTAATTTTAAATTGATTTTTTTAATATATTTTTATTTTAATGCATTAATATCAAAATAAAAATATTTAAAAATATATATTATTTAAAAATATTTAAAAAATAATCTTCTATAACAGTACCACCTGAGCGCGATTATCAGGCCAAGAAATCGTGGCATTGGAACATGAAATGAGGATGATACGTGTCTGAGCCTGACCTGAATTTTAGCCTCTGAGCAATTGAAGACAAGCGACATCATTTGGTGATGCACGTGAATTTCAGTATAGTACCTTGTCCTCTTGTCTCCGACATTAAATTTTGTGTCTTGTTGCGGCTATACTGAACCATTAATAAAATTTAAAATCTTAGTGTAAAATGTTTTTAATAAAAAACAGTTGTGACTGAGAAATACAGTATGTAGCAAATATTGCGTTTTTATAAGCTAAAATTGTTAGAAGAGAAAAAAAAAAGTTAAGTTTAATTTCTCGTAATATCATGAGTCCAAATTAATTTATTGTGAATAAATATTATGCTTTAGAATTAAAATATTCATAAAATAAAATTATATTTTTGAATCATGAAAACTAAAATGACGTACAATTATATTTTTTTTATTAATATTTTTAATTTATTATACTAATTATTTTATTAAATTTAATTAACTCGTTAAATTTATAAGCTGATTTTATTTTAAATTAAATTTAATAATTATAATTAAAAATTGTTTAGATGAATTTCTTTGTCAAGTTTTGAACACTACTTGCGATAATATGACAACCAAATAAAAGATTATGGGACATGAGTTCATTAAAATCCAATAATGATTGTTATTGGTTCTGAGCCTGGAAATTTCATTTTAATTTACTTATTTTCAAATATATTTGATCGTACACGCATGCAGATACAACCGCACATATATATATATTGATATTTTTTTAAAAAATAATTTTTAAAAATATAATTGTATTAAAAGTTTAGTTTTTCATTTCATTAAATTAATGTGAAAAAAATAAATTGCTTAAAATAAATAAATTATTATTTTATACAATTTAATAATAAAAAAATGTATTAGAGTAGATTAATATTTAATAAGTTGGATAAAATTAATTAATTTAAGAGTGAGTTATATTAAAAAGTATAAGAATTTTATGAAATGAGTGATTTTTTTAACATTACGAGATAAAATAAATATCATCATTGAAAAATAAATATAATAATTAAAATATAATAACATAGAGAAATGAAAATTAGCAGTATTCTCAAAGAAACTAAATTTAACAATGAAAAGGCATGGAATGAATGATGACAAAAAAGTTTACATTTGTGATGAAATTATTATTTTGCATTCTCAACTATATTAAATTTGAGCTGGTGTAAATATGTTTTTGACATGTGATTGGTTTAATTATTTATTCATTAATAACTATATTGGAAGAAATGATTTAACAACTAAGTAAATTATAATTTAATTATATTATCTTCTTAGCAATGAATTTTTTTATATAATTACAAATTCTTTTTTAATTTGATTTTGATGAGTGAAAATAAATTACCATTCTAAGTTAGTTTAATAATAATAATAATCTCTATTTATTTTTTCAAATATTACAAGTTTGATGATTATATATATAAAGAGTAAATCAAATTTTTATGTATTTTATTCTATCACATTCATCATTGATCAAGTAAAATATAAATTTATTTATTATGTTTTGTATATCACTTCTAAAAACAACAATATGGTTTCATTTATCCATTTGTCTCGACTATCTTTATTTACTCTATCCTTAAATAATATCTAAACAATATTCAAAAGTGTCAAAGATTTTAAATATTTACTAGATAAGTGGCATGTATGTTCTTACAGGCTAGGTAAAAAAAACATGCAAGCACTGCTAATCCTGTTAAGATGAGGTATTGTTTTTTTATTAAACTTGTTTGAAAAGATGGACATTACTTTAATATTTTTTTTTATTCAGGTTAATTATAAGTAGAAGCTATAAATATGTTTTCCAAGGCATTTGCAATATTTTTATGGTTTTTTGAATTGAAATATAGTTAAAATAAGTTTTTCTTAGTTTATAATAGACTAGTCTAATTTTACGATAAATGGAGTTCTATGAATCTAAACAATAGAGGCAATGTCTCACTTAAAAAAAAAAAAATCATTAAATGGTGAACGATTAGGTGCATGGGTTGTTCAAGGTCTTTTTATAGCGTCCCAGGAGCTTTAGGTCTTCCTAACTTAAGAGACTACATCTTTTTTTTTCCTTTTATCCATTATAATTGCACTTGTGTTTTAAATTTTTATTTCTTATTTTTTTTTTAATTTTCATCACATTAATTAAATAATATAATTTTTTTGATTTGATTTTTTCAATTATTTTTATATTTTTATATTTTATTAATTTTTAATTTTATAATTGTCTATTTTAAATACACTTTTTTTTTCCTTTTATCCATTATAATTTCACTTGTGTTTTAAATTTTTCTTTCTTATTTTTTTTAATTTTCATCGCATTAATTAAGTAATATGATTTTTTTTATTTGATTTTTTTAATTATTTTTATATTTTTATATTTTTTAATTTTTTAATTGTCTATCTTAAATAAAAAATTATATATATAAAAATATTAAATCTAATTAAATTAATGATTCATGCTATGAGTTTAGTTGGATAGGGAACAAGTTTGCTAAATTTTTTTGTTACATTAATAATTTTCAATTTATTTTATTAAATATTATCCTTTTAAATTCAATTTAATTTTTTTTATATATAAAAATACATTATAAAAGTCTGTATATAATTTTTTTAAAAAAAACTTTTTAGCTGTGGTGAATCACATTTCAAATGGCTAGTGTTATGTAATAGGCTCGTAATTGGGGGTTAGCAATCACTAAAACCCTAACGAGAGAGATGACGTATTCCATGTAACAGCCTCTCTCTCTCCCTCTCTCTCTCCCGCCCTCTGCGCTTCACCTCCTTCCTGTCTAGCTGGTGTCTAGGTTTTCGATCGGTCTTATCCAGCTAAAGTAATATATCCCCACAGCGGCGCAGGGAAAAAAAAAATTGAATGAGAGGTGAAATTACTGATAAATACTTTATATTATATATTATATAAATAATTATTATATATAAAATAATTAATTTAAAATATATATACTAAATTATGTAAAGAAAAATTAATTTAAAAATATTTTTAACATAAAAAACTTATATTATAATTATTTTTTGCAAGTTTTTATATTTTAAAACTATTTCATAGTAATTTTATTCTTAGTTTTATTAAATATTTTTTTTAATATATACAATTAAATTTTTATTCATTTATTTCTAAATTTGTCAGATAATAGTAAAATTATTAGCAATAATTATTTATTGACTTGTTTTATACAAGTAAATTAAATATTATTATTAATATATATTTTTTAATTTTTTATTATGTTTTTAATTTTTTAAATTATTCAGTATTTTATTTTTAATCATTAATAAATTAATCACCATTATTTATTATATTAAATTCATAACAAAATACATATTAATTCATTAAAACTCATTTCAATCTATATTTATATACATATAATATTATCCATACACATATTAATTTAACAAATTTATAAATTATCATAAACTCTAATATTTTTAATAACTAATTATTAAGAAATAATACTAAAATTAAATAATGGAATAAATAAAAAATAAAAAAACTCACCTAAAATATAAAATATAATGTATAAAAAGTTATTTATTTTAATTAATTAATAGTTTATTACTAGAAGAGAAGTTTTATAAAAGGAAAAGGGATAAGAATAATAATTAAAAAAAACTTAAATTGACTAGTATTTAATAAAAAAAAATTAAACTTGTTCAGTTATTATATTAAAATTTTAATATAAAAAATATTTTGGAAAGATAAAAAACAATTGCCCCTTAATCCTCATCGTGGCTCCGCCACCGTCTCCCCATAACTTCTCCTGCTTTTAGCATTTCATATTCTCATTTTTTCTTCTCTGAAAACAAAGAAGCGCTACTGTTCCTTTTGGTCACAAACTACTCAAAAGAAAAAAAACAGAAAAAGAAATGCAGCCTAGCTATGGACTACCAAACATCGATCATCATCATCATCAACAACAACAACGGCAACAACATTTGATGGAAGATGATTATTCCTGCTCACCATCAGTTTTACCCATTTCCAATCTTCAAAATTTGAACTATCCTTACCAGCCCCACTTGCACCACCACCTCCAACAACAACATAAACACCCACATCAGGTTTTATTGCAGCAACACCACCAGTTGTTTTATCCATTTCAACAACAACAACAGGTCCAGGGCCAAAGCCAAGACCAAGTTAACCCATCATTATTTTCTGTGAATTTCAAGTGGGGACGCGATTACGAAGACAGTGGCTACAAAAAGGCTGGTGCTTTGAATAATCAAGAAGAAGCTGCCTCCACAACCACCAACACTACTACATTTCTTGATGGAAATGTGCATAGTAATCCACCACATCCCATTTTAATGCCTCATTCTTGGCATCCCCGAGAAGATTCTACCACTATCAAAGAACCCTTTTGGTAATTTATTGCTAAACATTTATTAATCACATGACTTTTTGCTTACTTCACTCTTTATAAAGTGGGTACCATGTCATGTCATATATGTGTTTGTGTAAATGTTACAGGAAACAACTCAATAAGCAGCTGAGTGGAAATGAGGAGAAAGAAATTAATGAAAGCAAGACTAGTTACTTTAGCCCTTTAGACATGGAACAAGTAGTTGATGGAAGTAGTGAGGGGTGCAAGAATTTGGAAAGCAAATTTCCTCTCTTTAATGAGCTTCAAGCTATCTATAGTCTTGCACAGATTGCTGAAGCTAATCAAACAGGCTCTGGTTCTGTTCTCACGTGCGACAATTCACCAACGAATGCGGGTCTTTCAATACCTTGTAATGCTTCAAATGGGCAAAATGTCGGTGCCTGTGGTGCTGCCAACAATGTAATTGGGGTTGATCGTGGGTCAGAGAATTCGATTGGAGAGGAAGCTTCATTGAGGAAATGCCGAAGGAGGAAGAGAAAGGGGAAATTGAAGGAGAAATTAAATTACATAGCTGGGTTCTTTGAGAACTCGGTGAAGAAAGTGATGAATCACCAAGAAATGTTGCATAGGAAGTTCTTGGAAGTGATTGAGAAAATGGATAAAGAAAGGGCAGAGAGAGAAGCAACATGGAGACGCCAAGAGGCTGAAAAGTATAGCAGAGAAGCCATTTCTTTAGCACATGAACGGGCTTCAGCTTCAAGTAGAGAGGCTCAAATTATTTCTTACATAGAGAAGATCACAGGCCAAAGTATCAATCTTACTAGAATGGCTCCACCATTGCTGCAACCAGAAATTTCAAATGAGCCCATCAAAGAAATTACACCCACGAAAACTGACAGCCATAGCAAATGGCCTAAAGATGAAGTTGAGGCATTGATCCAAGTTAGAAGTAGAATAGAGATTAAGTTTCAAGAACCTGGCTTAAAGGGTCCTCTTTGGGAAGAGGTAAGCTTTTTAATGAGTTCAATGGGCTATCAAAGAAGCGCCAAGAGGTGCAAAGAAAAGTGGGAGAACATCAACAAATACTTTCGAAAAGCCAGAGAAAGTCCAAAGAGGGGGTCTGCGCGATCCAAAACTTGCTCTTATTTTAATCAATTGGATCAACTATACTCAGGAACTCTCATTAACTATCCTGCTAACACTACTTAAATGCCATCAAGTGGCATTGAGTTTGGCACCAAAAAGCAAGGCTATACAGAGCTTTTTGAAGTCTTTTCTGTCAGGAGAGACTACCTTGCAAATGTGAGGAATCCCCTTGGTGTGAGCGTAATAAGTTCTGACATGGGTTCTTCGAGATCTGAATTCGATGGATTTTCTGACCAAAACACAGAACTAGAAGAAGGAAGCAGTGAGCAGGATATAGAAGCTTACAAAGATGATAAGCAATAGGATGGTGAGCAACAAAATGGTGGTGTTGGTGGTGACGAAGAAATCGAGAATTGAGGGTAAGCGTTGTTGAATAGAATACCATGTTCATATCAGTTTTATTTGCAAGTTTGTTCTTCTTAAATACTTTCGATGAATTTGAGGCAAATAGTATTCAGCTCCTTTCTGCTAATATTTGTTCGACTTAGAATTTCAAGTTTTGCTGGAACTGACTGTTCATACTAGTAACAGATTTTTTATACTAAGCGATATATAGTCAGTTATTAGAGCTAATTGTCATAGAGGAGGATGAATTTCATCGAAGCCACAACAACTTGTTCCATTTTGAATTATATCTACCTGGTTTATTATAAGCAGAAGGTATGGCCTTGTTTAGTTAACATTCTCCAAGTTAGTTGGCCAAATTTGAAAGAAAATCATTCCACTATAGCTATTGATAGTTACCAATTAAAAATAAGGTAATGCAATCCCTTCATTGTTTTGGTGCTGGGTCTATCAAGTGATGGATGTGCGAAACTTTTAAAGTTTACTGACCATTCTAAGATCCTACATTTTCCTTCTCTATTTTAGATACTCCAGTTTGATGACTACTTCCCAAGGATGCATCTCAAATGACCATTCCTAAGTTTTTCCTCGAAAACGTTTCACCTACCCCATCCTGATCTCCTCGTTGCTTCCATTCTTCCTTGTCTTTCCATATTTATGGACAGTTTTTTGAAGCAAGTTTTCATTCATCAAGACTAAAGTCTTTTCGGTCAAGATAACGAAAGTCATTTGTATAAACCGATAAATTTATATAAAAAAGGCTGTTTCTTACTGGACTTAATACTTATTGAATATTAAAAAATTAATTTAAAAATACGTTATTTATTATATCTAGCTAAGCATATTTGGAATTGGCATATTTGGAATTGGTAGCATTTATTCTTTAATTATTATATATATCATATTATAAAAGCAAATAAAAAGTGTAGCAAAAACACTTAATAGCGCTTGTCATTTATATAGTACACTTTTTCCTTGTTCTTTATAATTTTTTTTTATTTCAGTTTTAAATTTTTTTATTTTTATTCATATGAGTCTATAAACTCTTTTTATTAACTTTCTATTGTCATCTCAAAGCTATTTCCCAAGGTCTTTTTAATCTTTGAGTACCACATTTTCCAAAAAAAAATTTGCCTTTAAACTTTTTTGTTTTTCATTTTAGTTATTTTAGTTTTTATAATTTTTATTTTGATTTTTTTTTATTTTACATTTTCTAGGATTGAAGAGGGAAATCAAACAAGTTATTTCTAATATTAATGAGTTTTATTTTACAAGAATAATTTAATTTAGGTGATTTTACCTTTATTTTCCTAGAAAAAGTAGATTGAACTTGATAAGATTTTTTTGACCTTGATTTTGTTTTTTTTTATATGAATAATTTAGAGGTTTTTGAGTTGAGATGTTAGTTTTTTGAGATTGTAAGAGTGTTTATTAGGTTAAATATGATCAAATATGGCCTTCGGCATCTAAAGAAATCCAACCTTATTTTCTAGTTATCATAAAAATCAAGTTTTTTAATAATTTTTTTAAAAAAGTAAATGGCATGTTTTTTTCCTTTTTAATCCAAGCAAAAAAAAATAAAAATAAATACACGAGTTTAATCTTGCAAGCTTACATGAGTGACCTTTTCATTTAACGGGTCACGTGTGGTGTTCTATTTAGGCTCAAGTACCTAATCTTATTTTTACCTTCAAATTTATTTTTTTTTGGATTAAAATTAAAATTTGAAATTATTTTTCTGGTATTTATCTTTAATTCAAATTGGATATTTTAATTTTTTTGCTGAATTTTATTTAAATAAATTAATTTAAAATATGTTTAGGATATTATTTAATAAAATATAATTCATTTTTTAATCTTTTTTAGTAGGATTATAGCATACTTTTCTTATGTAAACAAACAATTTTTTTATGTACCTCTCATGGTATTTTTTTTCTAAACTTTCTTGCTATTGAATTTTTTTTTGTGTGTTTATTTTTTTTTTCGTTCAATTTATCAAATAAATAATTATAAAAAATAAAGTTATTAATCCCAATTAAATCTGTGATTTGAATAAAAGTTTTATTGTGCTATATATATATATATATATATATATATATAGCTTATTGCTATTCAAAATAATAATATTCATTAAAAAATATTAAATAGGCACGAGAGAGGACTGATAAGAGATTAAAAAAACTCAAAGATTTATTGAAGATTTCATTATAACATCATTAATATTATTAAAAATATCTCAACAAGATGTTTTTAATAACACTAAAAAATATAACTAATAGTAACTTAAGTGGACTACACTTGCCGTCAAAAACAAGTGAGTTACTTGCTATCCTTGGGTGGCAAATATGATATATTTGGGTTATTGTTGATGATATTTTTTATTATTAGATTTGTTTTATTGAAATTGTTTTAACGGTACTGTTTATTGAAGATTTCATTATAACATCATTGATATTATTAAAAATATCTCAACAAGATATTTTTAATAACACTAAAAAATGTAACTAATAATAATTTAAGTGGACTACACTTGCCGCCAAAGACTTATGTAAACAAACAATTTTTTTATGTAGCTCATGGTATTTTTTTCTAAACTTTCTTGCTATTGATTTTTTTTTTGTGTGTTTATTTTTGTTTTCGTTCAATTTATCAAATAAATAATTATAAAAAATAAAATTATTAATCCCAATTAAATCTGTGATTTGAATAAAAGTTTTATTGTGCTATATATATATATATATATATATATATATATAGTTTATTGTTAATGTTGGTTTGACTTTGATATAAATTATTGATTCTAAGAATAAAAATTACCATAACCGATGAAAATAATTATGAGTAGAAATCTTCGTTAATGTTTTTATTACAAATAAATAAATATTTTGTGGTTGGAACAATTTCTTTTGTACTGTATATTATTAAATAAAAGTTTTATAATGTTTCAAATTAGTAGGAGCTGCAAATGATCCGCAAGTTCATCAATCACTGATTGTTCTAGAATCTCTTGTTTCTATTTTCAGGAATTGCTTCTATTTTCAGGATCTTCGTTCCAGGTGTTGCTTCTATTTCTACATTTGTTTCTCTGGTGGAAACCTTTTTAACTGGTAAAGTCCTGTTTGAACAATGAGGAGTCGATGGTGGAAACCTTTTTAACTGGTAAAGTCTTGTTTGAATAATGAGGAGTCCGAGCATGATTAATTGTTTTTTAAAGTGTTTTTTATTTTTTAAAAAATATTAATAATTTTTTTATTTTTTAAAAATTATTTTTAAGATCAACACATAAAAATAATTTGAAAACATAAAAAACATACTTTTATTTTTTAAAAAATTATTTTTAAGATGAACACATAAAAATAATTTGAAAACATAGAAAACATATTAATTTAAAATAAAAACAAAAAAATAATTTTTTTAAAAGCACTTCTCAAATACAAAAAATAAAAAAAAAATATTTTTTTTAAAAGCAATTTTCAAACATAATACCAAACAGTATCTAATAATTCAAATAAAAAGACACCAGCATCATAATTTTTGTCATTTGAATTGTTTATTATTTTAAAATATTTAAAATAATATTTTTTTATTTTTAATTAAAATAATGAAAAAGCATTAAAAAATAATTACTTAAAAAAAAAACGTGGAGACAAACAATCACATGCAATGAAAATCCATGTATAGAGGTTGGTTCAGTGGTTGAAAAATTGCTTGTATTGTACACATATCTGATATATTTGACATCATTTGGTGACTTAAAAAGAGAACCGTCAGTTGTGTGGAAACCAAAGTAATTTAATATGGGACACTGATTCTGGGCGTTCACCAATATCCCATTTAAGAATTCGGTTCTGTTTCTTCTCTACCATCATTCGAGGGTGGGGGCGTAGACTGAACTAGATGCTTCTTTCTCAAAGCATGGAGCTGTTAAAATAATTAAGATTAAATATAAAAAAGAGGTTAGAATTTTAAAATAATTTATATTATGAATGCATTGTTTTAATTTAAATATAAATAATATATATATAAATTAAATTAAAAATATTATTTTACTCTTAATAAATAAAACTATATGAATATTATTTAACAGTAGCCTCTACCAATCCAGCCAAAGCTTGGTCGGTAAATTCTTGCTGGTAACGGTCATTAGGTGAGCATTATGTATAAATCATGCTACCAAAATACAGGATAAAATATAAGAGGAAAAAAGAAAGAAAGAGGATCCCAATCCATATTTAGCATATTGAGAATGAAAAAACTACAGCTCGAAATTGGAAATTTGTGTTCCAGTTAAAAGCATGGCGTTTCTTCCATACAGGGGCCATCCAACTTATTCTACTTGGAATTCTTATGTTCAAATGCTGATAAAAACGGAAGCAGGCAAAGGGAATATATGACTATTTAATCTCAGTAACCTGGAATAAGAAAGGATAATGGTAAAGAAGAAGAAGAAGCAGAAGACATGCTTATTAATCGCCTTGAATTGACAAGAAAGAAAGCAGTGATCGTTGATCAAGGACCCATAGCCAGATCAAGTTCGAAGCCATCCTCACATGTCCAATTCTTCAGCATAGCCTCGGGGAACGAAGAAGCTTCATCTGGATAAGAAGGTGCAGGCCCATTAACAAGCATATTATTGCCATCTGAGAAGATATCAGTTTGGAGAAAATCAGAGAAGCTCATCTGCCCCATATCAAGATCCATCAAGAAGTTGCAAGGCACATCATTATCATTAGTAAATAGCAAGAGCTCATCATTTGAGTTGGGATTTTCTATCAGATATTTTTCCAAGGTTCCTTCTTCAATGGAGGATGCTGTGAGAATCTGATCAGTCTCTTTATTTTCAGCTAAGACTGGTGGTGAAGGAAGACTACTGTTTGTGGATGGTGCCGCCTTACTCAATCCTGTTGAGGTCTTTCTGGTTTGCTTTTTTGTGTCTTTATTCCCTCTTCTAGGCTGTTTTTGATCGTTAGCTTGTACCTTTCTTTTCAAGGTTGAATTCCAGTAATTCTTGATCTCATTGTCCGTCCGACCTGGAAGCCTTCCAGCTATTAAAGCCCATCTACGTGCACAGCAAAATAGTAAAAAATCTGTAATTAATTACTAGTACTATCAATCATGTGATAAAAAGAAAAACTATATTGTTTGGAGGGGCTGGTATTGATTAATTCATGTTGACGAGGGGAGATTAACCTGTTGCCTAAGAGCTTGTGAAGCCTAATAATGAGATCTTCTTCATCTGGGCTAATGTTTCCTCTTTTAACATCTGGTTTTAGATAATTCAGCC